CTTTAGCAATCTTTTAAGCAATCATCGTTGTCGTAGATTGTCCTCCCCCTCTCAACTTAGGTTTTTAACTTAGCTCCTCATATCATCCCTTCCTTTTTGTTATATCAGAACAATGCCTTCTAAACCATCTTACTGTCGAGAGGGGCCCTCTTCATTATCTATTGTAAAGCCAGATTCTCTTCTGCCGTTGAGGCCTCGTGGACATCCTCCTTAACGGACGACGACCCCATCCTAAGAGAAGTCGAGAACTATGCGGCAGAGGTAGGGGAAGCCGACAGCATCGACATTTTAGTTGAGGGATACGACAGCGGTGAAAAGAAAGTAAAAAAACGACATGCGTACAGGATAAGTAATGTGGCATATTTTGCAGGAAGACGAACAAACATGTGTCGTCTCAGTCAATGATATATCAATTTGTTTTTGAATTTATGTTGGTCCTGCTCAAGCGTTCTTTTTCCGTGGCTCATGAGTGCCAATCTTTCCCTCTCACTATTATAAGTAGGTGGTAAACTCTAGCTCTACGAGTACTTGCCAATAGCTGAGTGACTTGGAGAAAAACATTAACCTAGTTAGATATTATGGCAGTTTACAAAAGCAGGCGAGGATTACGTCATTCTCCGGCAGTAATGATGGCCGCGATGATGCTCGTGGCGGCCGTAATCCTGATCAATGCAAACTGCGGCGGAGCAGTGGTTCTTGTGAGGAGCAACGTCACCTATGGCTGCATTAGTGGCCGAGAGGAGGCGTGTCTCATTGCGGAGGATTTGGAGTTGGAGGGGTTGATGGAGTACAGCTCCCACGTTGCCAGAGTGCTTGGGGCCGCTGGTCCACAAGATCCTACTATAGGCACTGGAAAAGGGAGTAATATACCTTGCTATGATGGCAAAGGTAAGAGATATGATTGCAACCCCAAAGAAAATAAAAAGAAAGGTGCGAATTGCAGAGATATGTATGATCGTACTCCTAGTTCCCATTAGGATCAATTCTCTATGTCTATGTCCAGGTATCGGTTTTTCTTTTTTTATTTTTTATTTTATTTTTCTCACAAAGTGAAAGAAAGATTTTCTCCGGAGAAGATGTTTTTTCGTTTCACTTCGCTAGCTTATATGAAAACAAAAAATAAAAATTTTATTGTATTATTTATGGTCATTAGTCCACTTCTCTAGTAGTCAACACGTGCTAGTACGACTGTGATACTTTGCATAAATTCGAGTTTGTGTGTTACTTTGTTATCTCGCAAGTATGTTACCGAGTCAGTGGCAGTAATTGCAAATTATTGGTCACTTGACGAGGTGAGTTTGTTGTAATTTGCAAGTTTGTAATGAGCATCATGTTCCCTTTTTCAGTACTTTGTGGGTACAATTCTGGATGTTAGATTATTGTATATCAGTATCACATGGAAAATCGAATAAATAATGCAAATGTGTTGAATATCTGACAAAATTGATCACGCACAGAGCGAAACTATGACATAAAGTAATATAGGCAAGAAAGAACGAGAAGTTTTAATATTCACCAACAAACGAAAATACTTGCTTAATATTGATTTCTGTTTTTGCCTCTTGAAACTTGAATACCCGGATATCCGAGTAAAATTTGAAGGTATTGAAAGGAAAAAAAAAAAAAAAAAAAGACTTGAAAGTGCGTGAGGCGATCTTAACATAGGAATAAGGTTGCTTCTTAGTTTGTTCACAGCAGGGGGAAAAAAAAAAATTAAACAAGGAGAGAAACCCAATGGAGACAAGAAATCTACCAACCTTCGTATTTCCTTTTGTTCTATTTTGAGAGAATGTGTTGCGCCCTAAATCAGAAGAAAACGACGTGAAATAAAAAAAGAATGTAACTCAGACAACAAAGACCCTTGTTATGACTAAACGATTTTTACTCAGATCTGACTCTGGATTGGAATCAAGCGTGTGGAGGATGATCGTTGGGGTTGTAATTGTTTAAGTCTTCTGGTTCAGACTTCAGATAGAGCAATTGAGAGAGAGAAAATGGAGAGACTAAGAACAGGGCGACGGGGGATCGTGGTCTTTGCAGTTTTTAATTCTTTTTAATTTTTTGCTTTTTAAAAATTTTCCTCTAATATTGGGCCATCTGTTCCCGCTAATGAAGTCCCACTGTCGCGCGTTTTTCCAATCAAGGGCTTTTTTTTCCCACTGAATAAAATGTTATTTATATAAATCTAGTTCGCTACGCGAATTTGAGTTTTTAATTTAAGTTGAGATGTGATATTTTTTTAGAGTTTTTATCTGTAGTAAAAAACGTTTGATATGATATTTTCTGAGAGCTTTTAATTATTAGAACCTAAAACTTAAAATTCGACTCCATGAAATAAACGAGACCATAACAATTAAAGTTCCATTCAAGGGCTTGCAACACGTTTTCGAAAAAAAAAAGTGTGATAATTACAGGACATGATAAAATTTCATACCATAATTTGAAATTTAACAAAATTTTCAAAATATTATAAATATAACAAAAATGATATAGTCACTATCATAATAATATCATATTTTATACTATGTCATTACATAGTCGTCATTCTAATGATATCATTTTTTTTTGTAATATTTTGAAAATTTTGTTATATTTAAACTATACCATTAAAATTTTGCTAACTACTTAAAGTGCCCTTTAAACCGGTCATCATCATATAGTCTATTATTCTTGTAGGTGGGGTTTTAAGTCCAATTCCTGCATAATTTGACTTGACAAATTACAAAAATTAATCTCCCCTTTATTTCCATTCATTTTCACAAATGACCTTTTACTGTTTAAATTATAATTGAATTTTCTTTGTAGATCCTTCCCCTCATGTCAAATGAGCATTAAATGCCTACAATTCTATTTCCTTTTATCTACCAAACATAAGTAAATTGCAAATAAGCTTGTCATGGGTCTAACGAAACCCAGATAACCTGTTTAGCATTCAATAATTAATAATTACGCTGATTTATTGTTTAAAGAAAAGAATAAACTTCTTCAAATTTTGTTTTGGGCTGAAAATGAAATCCAAAGAGGAGAGGAACCGCGAACGGTGTTAGTATACTCCCCGGAACATTGCAAAGAGCTCCCTAGCTATAAAAATGTTTATTGAAGATCCTACCGTCGGATCTCACTCCCACTACTTCTTCACTCATTGATGAAATTATTGTTCTTTAGCTTAAGGAATAAAGCGAAAAAGGTGGAAAAAGAAAACGGTGGGAAAAGAAAGAAGAGTTAGAAAATGAGAGATGCACTGCACTAATGCCACAAAAAGCAATTGTTATCTCATCGTCCTTGTAACAAGAAACAAGCTAGTGCAAAAGAACTTCTATTCATCCTATAAAGATAGGGCAGCGTGAATCATCTGCAAATGTTTAGCCAGGTTACCATTTTAAACCCTAAGCTAAATATAATTAAGATATGAGATAGATCTAGAGATGTAAGTTTGGGTCGCACAGTCTGGTCTGACAGCCCAAAAGGAAATTTCAGGTCGGTCTAGCTCGACTCTAAGTTTAAAAAATTTAAGACCGGCTTGGCCTAGTTCCGGATTTTATAAGGTATTTTTAAAATTTTTTAAAAAATAAAATGTTTGGGTTAGACTGGTCTAACTTTAAAGAAGAGAAGGACGGCTCAGCCCGGCCCTAAACATATAAAATTTATGGCCAGTGTTTTAGATTTTCTAACGCAAGTGCACGTTGCCTAACAAGTAATATATGATGAATAAGTGATTGTTCCCACGAGGATTTGTTACTAATTTTGCTAAATACTAAAATTGTAAATCTAACTTTATCCAAACGGTCGATATTAAAATTAATAAAGCAAGAAAACAAATGAAATTCCAAAGCAAGTTAACTAATAAGCTAATAACAATGATCAAATAAAGCTAATAAAGTGGATCCCTCACTAAGTCTAGAGTGTGACGGAGCCATGATGTGTTGTTAGTGGGGATTTAATTCTTTCTTCAGATAAATTTTATTTCTTTTATCTTTCTTTGGGAAAACTCAATAAAATATATGTAGAGTTGGGAGGGGTTAAAACGCTTCTCTTCAATTTCTATTGTGCTACTTGAAATGTACTTAGATTTGAGGGGGAATCAAATGGTTTTTATCAAATTTTATGGGGGGCTAACATGTTGATTTAGCAAGAAAACATACTACCTTTTAAAATTATCGAAAATGTGAATGGGGGCTTCAGCCCCCTCTCAATAGTACCTAGCTCCGTCCATAAGAAGGAAGTATAGTGGCGTTGAACAGCTTTTGTGCTGGCTTCTCAAAATTGGTTTCTTTTCTGCTCTAAAAGAGAACATCAATTTTAAATTGTTTTCAAAAGCAAAAGAAAAACCAACATGCTAATTAAAGGAACAAAGTAGTGATCTAGTGGGGCATTTTTTGCAGAGCACGAACAACTGGGTAATGCATCTTTATAAATTATTAACATTATCAGTATGAATTGTTTATTATTTACTTTGGTCTTGTTCAAGTGCTCTTTTTTCCACTCATCACTCTTTTCCTCTCACTATAAGTTGTCTACAGCTCTGAGTAATTGCCAGTCGACTTTGGAGGAAAAATAACCTAGCTAGAAATTATGGCAGTTTACAAAAGCAGGCTAGGATTACGTCATTCTCCAGCAGTAATGATGGCCGCCATGATGCTCGTGGCGGGCGGAATCCTGATCAATGCAAACTGCGGCGGAGCAGTGGTTCTTGTGAGGAGCAACGTCACCTATGGCTGCATTAGTGGCCGAGAGGAGGCGTGTCTCATTGCAGAGGATTTGGAGTTGGAGTGGTTGATGGAGTACAGCTCCCACGTTGCCCGAGTGCTTGGGGCCGCTGGTCAAGACCATCCTGGTAAAGGTGCTGAAAAAGGGAGTAATGTACCTTGCAAAAACGGTAACGGTAATTCATATGGATCTGGTAAGGAGTGCCCCCCCACTCCAAAACCTAAACCAAATGGGAAATGTAAGAATAAGTATGAGCGTGGTTGCCATTCGTAAGAGCGGAAAATATGATGGAATACCCGTTAGGATAATCTTCTTAAGAACTATGTCCAGGTATCAGTTTTTTTTTTATTTTTTATTTTCAAGAAGTGAAAGAAGAATTTTCTCTCTAGTAGATGATTTTTCGTTTCATTTGCTGGTTTGTGAAAAGAAAGAATAAAAATGTTATCATACAACAAGCTATTAGTCGCTGATCTAGTAGTGGAGTATGTGTGCTACTGTCGTTCGAATGTGTTCGAGTTTCTGCGTTTGGACATTTGTACTACTTTGATCGTTTGTTATGTATTGCGCAAAGTGAAGTTACCGGGTCAGCGGTTCACTTTGACTCGGTGAGTTTGTAGTGAGTTATAAGTTTGTGATTTTTTTTTTCTTTTTGGATTAATCTCACAAACATTAATCTCTGAATTTTATGCTTAATTAATCTCACTTTGATCTCTACGCTTCCATGTTACGGGCCCGAAAAAGCACATTCCACCAAAATTTCTAACATAAACTCTCAATCCTACAAATTTTTTTTTATTTTTATTTTTTTGAAAAAACTAATAGAATGAGGTAGTCAAAGTTAGAATTTGACTGGTCACGTTGTCAAAACTTTACAAATTCAAGAGGTAAATATGCAAAGTACCTTATTGTAGAACATGAATATCTCTTTTTTAGTTTCATTATAACCACGAGGAATTTTAAGTTCTATACGGTAATAATATGTAAATTGTGAGCTTAATTACAAAACTTAACCTCACCTTTATTTTCGTACATTTTCACACACACACACAAAAAAAAAAGAATTTATTGTTTAATTATGATTATAGTAAAATATAATATAATTTTATTCTCTTTTTAAATCCTTCCCCTCATGTCAATGAACTTTCGGAATTAGAGCGTAAAAATGTCCCCCCGATGATATTTTCCAAGACATGCAATTAAACATGTGATTAGAACACCTCCGTTTCAAAGTAACATGCACAATAAGCTTGTCTTGTGTCTAGACAAATCCAAATAAACCAACTAAGCATTTAATAAGTAATAATTAAGTTGATTTTCCTTTTTTTTTTTTTTGGAAAAGTATAAGACTTCTTCACTGATTGATGATATTGGGGTCCCATAGCTTTAAAGGAATAAAGTAAAAGGGTGGAAAAAGAAAAAAGGGAAAAATGAAAAAGAGTTAGAAAATGAGAGATCATGCGTCGCACTAATGCGACAAGAATTAATTGTTGTCTAATCGTCCTTGTAAAAAGAGAGAAATTGAAAAAGAAATTTCATTCATCCTTAAAGATAGAAGCGTGAATCATATGCAAATGTGAAGCCAAGTTACCATTTTAACTCTTACGCTAAACTATAATTAAGAGATGATCAGATAGATCAATCACGTCCATTACTGCACAACTCTAAATTATCTCTGATCTTGAAAAGAAATGTATTTAGATTCAAATATGATGTAAATACTTACAGACTTTAATATGTGTTTCCTTATAAACCTCTAGATTGACATTGTGAGAGTATAAATTAAGCAATTATGATTACATTTTCCCTTGATAATTAACAATCAATTAATATAGTTGTTCGTCTCTATCTCTGAGCGTTGCAATCGGTTTGGGCGGTCTATTAATAGCAACCACCGATCAAATAAAAAATAATTTAAAAATAATATTAAAACTATTTTGAAGAAAAATTAAATCAAACCAAATCACTCATAAGCGGTTTGGGCTATTTGAGCTTAAGACTATTGATGTGTTTAATAATTCATAAAAATTAAAAAACCGTTAATCCATAAAAAATGTAAGATTCAAGTTTACAATATAATATAAAAATAACAAATACCTAAAAGCTCCCAGTTCAAAGTTTTAATACAAACTAATAAAAATGTGATATGGTGTATTTTTGTAAAACCTCTATTTTAATAAATGAAAATTAAAATAAAGAAATTGTTTTTAAAAATAAAAAATTATGCGTATTTTATGTGGATTATTAAGCGGTTTAGAGAGTCTAAACCATTAACCAAATCGTCCAAAACATAGATTAAAAAACTGATCAAATTGTCTAATAATTTAAAAATAATTAGTGATTTAGTTCAATTTAATTTGAATTAAGCGTTTGGGTGGTTTGAACACCCTTAAAAATACCTTTGTGTCATTTTTATTTCCCACGCAGAACTCTGCCTTTTAGTTAGGAGCTTGTACAGTGTATTGCTCTAAACTTTGGATCCCTCACCCAAGTCCAGTAAGAAAGAATAGTGCGTGTCGTGCGACCGTTTTTATGCTGCCTTCTCAGCATTGGTTTCTTTTCTCCTCTAAAGTGAGGACAACAATTTTTTATTTTTTTCTAAAAGAAAAGAAAAGTAAACGTGATAATTAAATTAAACAGAATAAAGTAGCGCGCCAAGCTAAGAACAATTCAATACCCGTCCACTTTTTCATCTACTTTTTGAAAAAAAGGAAGATTTCCTTCGGAAAACAAGGTCAAAAAGAAAATCGTAAAAGGCGTAATAGGCAGGGAAGAAAGCACCATAAGCTACAAGCTCCCCATCAACCGCCTCGGTTCGAGGTTTTTTTCCTTCGAGTACGGTCCACTCCTTTAATAAAACAAGGTCAAAATGACCGGCTGGTGCGGCATATTTTGCAAAAGACGAATAACTGTGCAACGCACCTTAATAAATTATTGAGAATTTCTACTGTTAAATCAGAAAAAATAAAGTGTTGATGATTTTCAATTTTTAAGGTTAAATCTGCCTTAAAAATTATCTATTGTGTATATTTTTTAGTTTAATTTAATTTTAATCTAATTTAAAAATTAAAAAACTAACATTATCAATAGGATTATCCTACTTAAATTATTACATGGTCGGTAGGATGCGCTTTTTATACTCAAATTTCCCTCTCATTAAAATTAGTTTTATAGCTCTATGAGCAGTTGCCAATAGAGTTTGGAGGAAAGATAACCTAGGTAGCAATTATGGCACTTTACGAAAGCAAGCGAGGATTACGTCATTCTCCGGTGTCAATAGCCGTGTTGATGCTTGTGGCGGCCCTGATCCTAATAAACGCAAACTGCAGCAGAGCGGCGGTTCTTGTGAAGAGCAACGACACATATAATGGCTGCGTTACTGGCCGAGAGGAGGAGTGCCTTATTGCGGAGGACATGGAGCTAGAGTTGTTGGAGTACTACTACAGCTCCCACGTTAGCCGAGTGCTGGCTCAGAAAACAACAAATCCCGGCGCCTCTCTAAATGCCGGCCGTGCGACTACTGTACCCTGCTATGACGGTAACAATACGCCTTATAACTGCGATTCGACCTCTGTTCGGAAGAAAGGAAATTGTCGCCATGTACATGATCGTGGTTGCCAACAGAAGCAAGCTTGAAGCTGGATTCCCTTTAAAGATCGAGACTCTTCGATCTATATCTATATATTGTTTGGTATGATTTTCTTAATTTTCTTTATTCTCATTTTTTTTGTCTGCTTTTATAAGGTGTGCTGAAATTTAGTACAACTTTGAAAATCAAGACCATAGCATGTAATAAGGAAGGGGGAAAGAAAAAAAGGTCAGAAGATATAGTGGAACTGACCCTGCGGGGCACTTATTGCCTGCTTGTGGCATGGCTGAGACACGATCGAGAAGCTGAAAAACTCTCCTACTTGCTCCTGCAGCTTTCATCGCAGTCGTGTACAACCCCGATAGAGAAGATATTGAGGATCCAACTGTTGACGTAGAGATTTACCGAGACTAATTTGTTACTATAGCATAATGCAAAATCTTTGAATGATCTTTTCATTCTTCAAAAAGAACTAAACTAAGGTAGAGAGTGAAATCCAAAATGTTTATACTTTCTGCACTTTAAAAATAAGTACACTTCAAAAAGAACTAAACTAAGGTAGAGAGTGAAATCCAAAATGTTTATATTTTCTGCAAAATAAGTACAGGTGGGAGGATGTGAACAATTAGACAAGTACCTGTAAGGCTATAAAGAATGAAAGAGGTAAGAGCTCCTGCAGTCAAGGAGCCTGTAATCGTCAAGTATGCTCCATAAATAACTACGACGATAACAGATAACATGGACGCTGCGTTTAGCCCTCCGAAAAATAGACCTACTACTCTCTGAGGCAGACAAAAAAGAGAAAACGAAGCTCAGATACCACACTACTTGTGCACAGGGAATCTTCAGAGTTCAAGAAAGAGATTGGTAAGAAAACTCACAGCTTGTCTTAGTCCAAGCTTCAGTGTCTCGTCAACTTTTTCTGAGTAATTTGAAATCGTGTGGCCTTCTTGAGCAAAGGACCGAACAGTTCGGATAGCTCCAAAAGATTCCTAAACATCAGTAGTGTTTTTCAGAAAACATAAACCACTGAAATCCTCATATAATCAATTTAGCATAATTTTCTACTCATAATTATATCATCAAGCCTCAAGGGACATCCTATGTCAAAAAAACACCAAATATGGTATTTTGAAAGCACGATTTAGGATATTCAAGACCCAAATTTATGAAGAAACCCGCAGAACTACAAGTCCATTTGTTGCCTACAAACCTCAGCAATTGAGGCAGCTACTGCAGCTGCGGCTTGAGTTGCGTGTGAAAGTTCTCGGAGATAGCGCCCGAACTTCTTTACAGCAACCGAAATAACAGGTACAACCACCAAAGCCAACACTAGGGGAAGCAGGGAAAATAACTGCAATGAGCACTATTCTCCTCAGCAGAAGCAACTTCACAAGAATTTAGCTCAAAATGAAATGAACTTACATGTTAACTTCCAAGATGATGAGAACATAAATCCAATACCAATAAACGCAGTTGTTACGTTTCTCAGTGCCTCAGAAAGATTGGTAGTTGCAGCATTTTTTATTATCTGTGTGTCTTCAGATAGCCTGCTTAGAAGCTCCCCTGTCCGAGTAACATCATAGAAGGCTATTTCCTATTTCAAACATTTTGGTATCAACCATGCCAAATTTATACAGATTCTTATTGAATTGAATATCACAAGGAAGACCAGAAGGCTAAATCAGTTTAGTGGATTAGGAATTTAAATTTGTGACTTAATGGGTCTTACCTGATGAATAAGGTGAGCAAATAAGTTTTTTCTCAAACGAGCAACGACTCTTTCACTAGCAGAAGAAAACAACCACGCTCGGAGTGCTGTGCACAAAGAGCTTCAGATAAAGTACAAAGCAGAAAATACACTAGATGAGCTTAATGATTAAACAACAAACATAAAAACAAGAAAAAAAGAATTGCAAACGATGGCATAAAGACAGCAACTACATTGGAAAAATGCATGCCAAACTCAAAGAAATAAAATGGAACAAATCATACCCAACAACAACAATTAGAAGTATTTCCAATATGGTGTTTTTGACAGCCTCCCAAGCTTCAGCTTGCTGTTCGGGAGTTCTTATTTCTCTTGATACAATGTCAATTATCGTTCCCCCAAATTTTGGCTGCAGGAGAAGAACAGCGAAATTCGGATGTTAATAGAGGGAAGGCTAAGAGGAAAGCAGAAGGTTGAGGTGAGTCCAGTGATTGGATCCAAATGGAAAAATACAAGAGCAACAAAGGTCAAATTCCGATCAACATAAGGGTAATTAAAAAAGATAAAAAAGGAATGAGAAAGATGATCATCAATAGACCAAGCAACATACTATCAGAATACTTGTTGTGGATGCAATCAGCAGTGCAATAGTGGCAATAACTATCTTGCCAGCATCAGGTTTAGCCTGAAAAAGTAGGAAAATTTAAAACAAATCAAAACATAATCTTATTCTCAAGAAGGGGGAAAAAAATATTTGTATGATAACCGTCTACTTACAAGTGACAATATTCGACAATATCCAACATTCGCAGCCTGAATTTTCCAAGAAAAATAAATAAAATTACTACACCTCTCCAAAACATTAAACATCAAACATCAAACATCAAACATTGATTAGATATCACCTGTACGGCATCACCATGCTCAAGGTCCGTGACGGGGCCATCACCATTATTAGCCTAGACAAAAATAACAAGAATCAGTTTGTCGAAAGATAAAAAACATGATTTAAGATTAATAATGGGCAACACCAAAAATTCCAAAACAGAAAAGGAAAAACAATCAAACCTCCTTGTTGTTCAGAAGAGGGACTCTGTTACTGCCGGAGGAAGCAAAATCCAAGCGCTGCGTCTTACCCATCACCAAACCAAACGAAAGAGTCAACGGTTTATGGTTTTCTCGGCCAACTCAGATTGGGTTTGCGCGGGAAATGGGATCTGCTAAGGAAAAACAAAAAATAAAAAAAAGTGGAAGCTCGTGAAATTGGAAGTTTGATACAAATAATGGTTCTATTTCATCTTCTTTTTTTTTTTTTTTTTTTTTTTTTTTTTTTTTTTTTTTTTTTTTTCTGCTGACTTCCTCCCCACCCTAAGTTGGTTGTAACCGGGATTTTTCCTTCCTTCCCCGCTAACTTCCAAAACACGTACCTACAATTATGTTTATGATGATATTTTAAGTTTCTAAAATTTTAATTTTAGTAAATTATCCTCTAATTTTTTTATTATTTTTAACCATTTGGTCGCTACATATAAAAATTGGTAAATCATTAGTAAAATTTCTAAGAAATAAGACTCATAATAACTGATTTTTTTTTTTTTCAGAAATTGTAACAATAAATGCATAAGGAACTAGCTTTAATGTTACTATTTCTATAAAAAGAAAAATGCACTTATTAGTATGCAATTTAGGATGTATTCCCATGAATATGAATCCAATTTTTCATAGAGTGTGTCTATTGATATTCCTTTTTTTTCTTTTTTTTTTTTTTACTTTTCACACAAAATATTTTTGAGGGCACTAGTATTTTACAAGAATACTCATTATACACCCCACCATTGAAAAAATGTGTTGCCTTCTAAAAAACACATGATTAAAAAAATATATTATAAAGAGAACACGATTTCACAATATATCTATATATATAATCTGCAATAATTCGTTTGGTTTATGAATTAGAATAATGAGATTAGAATTATTTTTTATTTACGTGTATTTTTTATGAGAAAAAATACTATAACAAATCATGAATCATAATTCGAATTAGAAAACGAATCCTCCAACCAAACAAACGGGCTATAATAGTGAGTGGATACTATCTGTGAGTCTTATTATGTAAGACTAACTATTTAAGATGCCGTGTTAATTTTATTGATGTCGTACAGTATTGTTCCATTTTTTCTGTCTACATGCCATTTAATGATATTATACTACATCAATTAAATTATTGTACTGTTCTATTTTTTTCTGTCTTTTCATGCCATTTGATGATATTATACTACATTAATTAAATTACTATAACTGACATGATTCTTAATTGATTTGATATAACATTTAGGTTATTTGATATGATATTATAGTACGTCAAAATGGACAAAAACAAAACACAAGTGGAATCTATCGTGTTTGGCGCCTCGAGGGCCACATGGGGTATAGAAAGGTTATGAAAATTTTATGCATACATGAACCCCGCTGAATTAAGGAAAAAAGAAAAAATTGTTAAAGGAACTGAGCAGAGAACAAGTCATTCTCCTCATAATATATATTGCGTGAGGTTAGCTTTTTATAGGTCTGATCATTTCGTCGATTCGAGTTTAGAATTTGAGTTTTGTTACAGTAAAATTTTTTAGAAACCGTCATATCTAACTTTTTTACTATAGTAAAAAGTTCTCATATAAAATCACATATTAACTCGAATTAAAAACTCAAATTAGCAAACTAAACGGACCCTTTAACTACTAAAATATTATCCCTCACAAAAAGCTGTCATGTGGTTCATGATATCTGAGTTAATAACACGAGCACTCCTATTTGATAGGTTTAAAATTTCTCTATTTACATGATGTGAGTCCCGTTAAGTATATAAATAAAAACAAATTTAATGAGTCCTACCATTTTATGAGTGTGAATTTTAACCGATGATAAGATGAATGCTATTTCATAATAACATATGTGTACTTAAAATTTACTATAATGACGTTATTACCTATTTGGCAAATAGATTTCTAGATAATTAAAAGCGTTTTAAAACTTTTCGATTTTACTTGTTATTCTCTTTCTTCTTCGGACTTTGAATCTTATTGGAATTCTTGAACCTTTCAAAAACACAATCCTGAATCTTTTTTCTCCATTCAATCTCTTTTGACTATGAATTAATTAAAGACTAAAAGAGAATAAAATGACAGTTCTTTAAAAGTATGCGTGCAATAGAAATTGATAAAAATAATCTCCTTACAACTTGCTTGAGTAGTGAACGGTTAATTTCCTTTTAAAACTCCTTAAAGAAAGAAAAAGAAAATAAAACCTCACTTAAGTAGCACCCAGATTTTTCCTTTGGTTTTTGAATCTCTTAAAGTTTTGTCCAAGAAGAATGTATTGGGATTATAAATTCTATATCTTTATAGGGTGAATTAGAAGAATACTAGTACTTATGTGATACAACTAATATCTAGACTTTAAAAGTAATACTCAATTTAAATATGAGAAATTATTTTTAGAGTGTATGAGTCTAAGTTTTACTCGTTATTTTTTATTAATATCTTATTGACTCATATAGTTATTTGATTTAAAAAAATATTAAATAAAAATAAAAAGTAAAATTTAGACTCACACATACTTTAAAAGGTATTTGTTTTTGTTTTTTTTTTTCCTCATTTAATATACATTACAATTTGCCACTTTGTGTTCAGACTCCGGATCTGTCATAAATAAGGTTCAGAATCCAGCATCCCACTTTTATATATTAGATTATAGATTATAGATTATGGAATTAGTCGAAACAAATTTATTCATCGATCATGTGATCGGATTTGAATTGGATAAGTCAATGGAAAACCACACATTTTGGGTTCAGATCGAGGAACTTCCTTGGCCCAAGGTTAGCCCAGTCCACTCCAACCAAAACCTTACAGTGGAAGAGCAACTCGATGTTACTTTTATTATAGCTTATGCTTGTAATTTAGGAATAATTTATTACTTGTTTGGTTTATACGTTTAAATTAGTAATTTGATTTTAAATTTAAATTTTGTAAGAAAATTCATTAGTGGAAGCTTTTTTGATTCAAATTTTTTATTAAAAAAAATACAATAACAAAATTAAAATTATAATTTCAAATGCGTTAACTAAATGGACTCTAGTTCTATTTAACTCGTGAATTAGATTAAGTATATAGAAAAAACTTTGTGAATTGAAGAAAGTTACTCAGGAAAAATATGCCTCTAGTCCTCTAATTTAGAATTATCTCATACAATGAGAAAAATAAAATATAAATATAAAGGTTCCAAGTGTCCGCGATATATTCTCCAAGACATGCATGCAATGAAACGTTTGACCATTGCACCTCCCTCTTAACAGAACTGAATGATTAAGTTTTGTTGTATGCAATAAACCGTTTAGTGCGTATTTAATTATAATTAAGTTTTGTTGTTGTCTCTCTCTGTCTTTTTTTAATAGAGAAAAGGACGGTTCATCAATGTCCTTGCTTTAAAGGGATAAAGCAAAGAGGTGAAAAAAGAAAACGTTACGAAAAAAATAAAGAAGAGTACTAGGAAAAAGAGAGATGCGACCAAAATCAATTGACATCTCATTATCCTTGTTAAAGAAACAAGTGGAAAAAGAATTGTATTCATACCTAAAGATAGAGCACTGCGAATCATGGGCAAATGTGAAACACGGATCAATTTTTAACAACTAACCTCAATATAAAGATATGAGATTGACCAAGTTCATTACAAATGCAAATCTACATTATACATGTATAAAAAATATATCTTGAGAAGAAAGCGTTTCACTAAAAAAACAAAAAAAACTTTGTAAAATATGTCATTACTTACGACCCTACTTTGACATGTCGGAAATAAGTAATGTCACCGACACCACTAAAGAACACAGTGAAATTCACAAGGGCGATATGCTAGCGACACAATTAGTTTTAGCATCGGGATTTCACTTTCCGGACACTTGTGTTGAGTGCGTCGTGAATGCGCTATTTGGTGATGGAATTTGACTTAAAATTTACTTATAAACCATCGATTCATATTTCCTAAACCCCTATATGAATGACAATGTGATATTATAAGGTTACTACCCCACGGTCATATTTTTCACTTGATACAAGTAGAAATAAAATTAATGAATTCTATCTTTATCTTAATTGAGCACCTAATTACTGTATATTGCATAGATATACAGGAGCAAATATTACTAAAGCGATCTTGCCCTTGACGTAGAACATAACCTTTTATGTCATTGTCATAAATCATGTAATAATTTTTTTTTTAATAGTGGCTTTGCCGACACACAACATAATTTGTTTGAAACATCTAGATCTTATCCCCATTCGACCAATCCCTTTTTTTCAGATTAATAAAAAAAAAAAAATCTAGCAATTTTGTTTAGGGCTATGTACACTATACTGAGACTTTGGGTCGTTGTAAGAAAGAAGCATTCTCTGATGATCGCTTTTGCGCTGGCTGCTCAGCATGCTTTAATTTCTTTTCTCCTCTGAATAGACGACACATTGAACTTTTTCCCAAAAAAGAAAGTATAAAACGACATGCGTACAGGAGAAGTAATGCGTCATATTTCGCAGGAAGACGAACAAACATGTGTCGTCTCAGTCAATGATATATATCAATTTGTTTTTTGAATTTATTTTCGTCTTGCTCAAGCTCTTTTTGCGCAACTCATGAGTGCCACTCTT